TGTCAAATGGAAATGCTTTTTGATTGAATCACGTTTTGACACATACACACACAACACTAATGTCGAAACGAAATATCGTTCCTTATAATCGAGTAGATTTACCTTGGCCAAAAGCGGAAGTGAACGCTACACGGTTTCGGTGAATCGCTTTTGGGTGTCAAGCGAAAAGAGGAAGAAAAGCGAAAAACGAGGCAATTACTTGTACAAATCCGACGCTCCCGAAAATTTCCGAACGATTTTTCAACAACTTCGACAACGGGCTTACTAAATGTCTATGGAATTAGTGTGTGTGTGTGTGTCCAATGTAAGAAATCGCCTTGTCGCTCAATGATAAAATATTGTGTGATCATCGTTGGAAATATGTGACCAAAATCACACATCCTGTATTCATAAGCTGATTTCGAAAAATGTCATTTATTTTCTATTCGTCCATTTGATTTGTTTTGCTTTTTTCTAATTCATTTTCTGTTTCTCTTTCTCTTTTCCATGATTTTCTTTCTTCCGTTTGCATCATCGGTTTTGCTACGTGACCGAAACGCTTGGTGGTATCGACGATGATGGCGATGATGATGGTGGTGCTTCCCGTTCCACAGGTCAACAAGATGCTATACATATCACGGCCATACTCGGAGAAAGTGTTATATTCAATTGTCACGTCGAATTTCCCGGTGATCATCCAGTTCCTTATGTGCTGCAGTGGGAGAAGAAGGTGAGCGAAACGGTACGACATTTAAATCTTTTCTCTGCTCTCTTAATCCGATTTACTTTTCTTCTATTTTTTGCATACATAATATTTATCGCAACTGCAAACAAAAACCAAACCAAACCAAACCAAAAAAAAAATCAAACTCAATTCCTCCCCGCATCAATCTTCTTTCTGTCAATCACAACATATGGCACCAAAATACCAATTTGAAACAAGCAAACAAAAACTAAATAAATCTCTCACAAACACGAACCAAAAAAAAAAATTCTACTTGTAAGAATGTACGGTATGAGTAAATAGAATAGACACTTCTTGTATATACTTCTATAATGACTTGCATAAAATATTTACGATCAAGCAGAAGAAAATTGTTCGTAGAAGAAATATTCATTAGAAGCCAAAGAAACTGTCGTCCATTTGATTTCTTTCGCTTCATACACAGGAAAAAATAGATAAACAAATTTTTTTCTCGGACGGATTTTTCCATGTTATTTTGCATATTTCATTTATTGCATCGCTTGTCCCCCTCTCCATCTCCCTCGTGTCTTTCAACTTTCAGTTGGTTTACAAAAGTGCATTTTTAAGAACTCGTCCGATTTCAATGGCTTGAAATTAAAAATGCACTTTTCCAAAAGAAAGTATTGTTGACGCAAGCAAATAAGGTTTTTCCTTCTGCTCCACTCGCTGTGAGTCATTTGTAAGTGAAATGGAAAGAAATGAAAACGAATAAGAAATGATGCAAAAGAGCTGAATGTGGAAAAAAAATTAGACCGGACCGAGGAAAAATTTTGATGAGGAAATCTTGGGAATTATGAAGTAAAACGTACAATTATAATATCGTTGTAAAAAGGAAGTAAATTTTTCTTTCTTCGTCTCGTCTTGTTCATCGTCGTCGTTGAGATTCAAAGGGAAAAAGAAATGAATAGCACCAAAGTGAAACCGTTTAAAATAAATAATGGGTGCCAATGAGCTGGAAAATAGTACGTCGAAAAAAGGAAAAAATTTCTATGATGGCAACGGGATGAAAGAGAAAAACCAGGAGAAGATGAAAAATAAGAAGACGAAGAAATCAGTTTTTTTCCCAAGATTTTTGAATTTTAATGAGCACCTCGTATTTGTGTTTCCTACATTTTCGCTTCCGTTTGTGCCGCAGCGCGTTTTTTCCGCTCTCATCAGAGATCTTAATTGCAATCTACACTCCGGGGACAAAGTCAAACACTTGATGCTGTGCATGCAATTTTATTTCCTTCGTGGAAATCCCACCAGATGAGATCAATGGCTGTTGTTGAAGGTGTGGTTGGATAAAATCAATATCAAAAATAGAGAACAAATAGGAAATAAACACTGAAAATTATCAAAAAGCTCAATTTCGATCTCAACGAGAAGTTTGAATTAATAGTTTGACACTTCAACTAGCCACTGATTTTCCCATGGGACAAACACACCAAACATTTACAACAGCAAAATTAAATTCGACATTTTATTTTCTATCGAAGAAAAAATAAATGCAACGAAACTTTTAATTCGTGTAAATTCTTGATAGCACATCCAAAATTGATGTGCTTAATTGTTGAACGTCTCTTTAATGAACAGAGTTGTAATCGAGATCGCTAATAGAGTTGATAAAATATTCAAAGTCCTCCGAACTTGCGATGGCATGCTCTTTTTCATGCACATTACAACGGCATTCGGCATCGAACGGCAGCGAAAACACGGAAACTTGATCGGATTGAGAAAAAAAAGAGGAGAAAAAGAATTTCACTTAAATCTTTCACTATTTATATGTAATTGATGTGAATTTATAGTCGTTCTTTGTAGGAAAAATAAGTAGCTCGTTATCATTATTTATTTTGTTGTGATTATGATTATTATTGTTGTGAATACTTTTTTTTATTTCTATTTCATAGGTGTATTTATGATATTTTTACGTGTATTTTGATGATATCGATATTCAAAGCATAACCATATTGATGATTTAACCGGAAAAAACAGCTGCAACTGAGAAAAAACCATGAATCATTTTCAAATATTTCCGTGCCCATTAAATGGTCATGTCATTCGTTGAATCGTTTTTTTGGAAATGCATTCATATTGTGAAACCATTTCCTCTTTACGTGTAATGTTCCATGCTAAGCGTTTGATTTTAAATGAATTCCACCCGTTCGTATACCGCCCAATCAAACTGGATAACAAACGTAACGAAAACGAATCGAAACGGGAAAATCGTGTTTCATTCAATTATTTTGATTAAAAAAATAACGGCAAACTTTTACTCGAATTTTATTTTCTTCGTCTATTTTCGCTTTTCGTGTCTTATTACTTCGTTGATTTGTTCCTGTTTGTTTTTATCGTTATTGCAGTCAGTCTGCCGAAAAAGTTTGCAGTTGAAGTGAAAAATCTCAAGATAAAAACTTGCATTCGGGGCTGTATGATAGTTTCTTGACAGATAAAATTTGGCCATGTTGTTTGTTCGACGATGGACGGTTATGGCAGAGAGTGGCGCTTCTATCATTTATATTGTCGTCTCAACGGTTTGCTCATAACGCAGCTGCAGCGGCATTGTGTTTACATGCGGTGTATTTACAATCCCTGGTGTCGTTGTGCTGCTGTTGCCACCGCAATTGCAACTACTGCTACGAGGTTGCTCTTGTTTGCCCAAACAATTTCCAATTAAATTGATTGCACCGAAATTATTTTTTTTTCCTTTCTTGGCAAAGTTCTTGCAGCAACTTCACATTGACGAGTTTGCTTTCGTTTCGGGCAAAAACCGAAGGCGAATTCGTCCGTTTCTTTCTGTTGCTTATCTCTTCATTTCAACGTTAAAATGAACATAATTTAAGTGTTCCCAATCAGGTTTCGAGGGAAAATTGCAATTGAGATAGGAAAATTTCGCCAGAGAATAACCATTCTTCTCGCCCATGTTCACCTACTTGTCCATTGCTCTATAACGAAACGAACTCTACTTGCTACACTCATATTCTCTCCATTGATTGAAAATTGTGATAAAGATAAACAAGGGCAAATGCGAATCGTCTTACTCCATCTCAGTCGAAGGATGGTAGTTTTCGGTTTTTATTGTTTCGAATTTTATTGTTTTCGTCCTCGAAATCTTATTAAAGCGTTTTCAATGTAGTTTTCTCCCGTGTGTCAAATGGGAGAAAACGAACAAAGTGACTTTGTAGTTGTTCCTCTGCGCCCGACAAACAGTTGCCGAATAAATGCTGTTTCCATGTGCCTTTTTTTTCTTCTATCGTATCGATTTGTCTGTTTGTAATTGCGATCAAAACCTAAGTAATAAAATGCACATTTCTTCCCCCATTTCATTCCTTCGCCATTCCTCTCACTCACTTGCACAAACACATACACACAGAAACATGTATACAATGGCAAACCAAAAATTCTTAAGTTATTTAAATATGAAGAGCTAAATTAAACTCAACCAAAGAGAGCCAGAGAGAAAGATATAATCCATTTATAGATTCATTCACACAAGCAAAGAAAAAAAACAAAGAGAAAAACTTTTCGTTTTAGTATTTGCTGTAAAAAATATCAAATGAACACTTTGTGTATGCGTGTGATATCAAGTTATTCTCACAATAATGCACCAATTTTGCACTTTGCAATAGTTGTGTATGTATTAAATGTACAGTCAAGACAAGTAAGTCAAAAACCAATCGAAATAACACGACAAATGTCGTCAAACAAAGTACAATTGAACGGAATTTGAATTGAAATAAAATTGATGTTGGTTTATAGATTTTATGGTGCAATTTAATTTCGACAACAAACAAATCGAATTGATCCCGGGTATATAAAATCATGATGTAAGTAAATGTTGTCTCTCATTTGGAAACTGCATGGCAAACATTTGGTTGTTGTCGCGCGCGCGCGCTCACTCGTGCTTGCGTTCGCTCGTTTACTCGCTCCGTGTGAACCAAAGACATTGAAGATGCAATCGGAAAAACAATTGATTTAGATGCCTTGAAGTGACGTTTACTCTCTTATCTATATGCTTGCAAAGAGTATCACGTCTACCAATCGGAATACTGATTGTTCAAATTGCCATCGATTGTTGTCTCAACGCCAAAAAGTGTATCAATAAATTTTGATTGTTGCAGACACGACACGCAAATCCCATTTGCGGTGACTCCATTTGCTTAGGCTACTTTTATACCAACAAGTCGAAAATAAATCAAATTGGTAAACTTGATTGAAATAACACAATGACAATATCAAATTCGGTTATTTGGCTGTGACAGCCGACTGGAATGGATATCTTTTGCTGATGAATTATGTATAATCATCAGCATGAGTGCTCCTCACTTTTTATGGCTTCGAGAGGGAAAAAAACGGAAGAAACTGAAGCTTTTGTCATTCCATTTTAATTGAATTACATCATCGTCATTGCACAGTGGCCGATTTTCATCGTGATAATAATATATTAGATTTCAGTGAACATGCTTTTTCATTTGAAGGCAAGGCATTCCTTTCTCTGGCTTAATGGAAGGAGGGCGTTGTTATTTTTATAAATCTTGTTCTTTTTCTTCGGCCCTTCAAGCTGAAATTCCGAGGAGATATCCAATTTGGAATTTCCAAAGCAAGCGAATTTCATCGAGCAAACAACCATAAACCATACATAACCAAAAATAAGTGCATGAGAAAAAGGGAAATCGAAAACCATTTATAATATTAAATGGGCTTTTTTTTCTCTTCTCGGTGACAAAACAATTGTTGTTAAAAAGAAAATTCTGGTTGAAAAGCATTAATCCAGCGAATTGAAAATGCGATGTGTTGTGTTTGATTCCTGAGAGATGACAGTTTGAAAAGCAACAATTTTAAGTTGTCATTCATTTGTCATGTGCACACGGGGAGAGCATGTAAGGCGATAATCATTTTTGATGAAAAATAATAGTGACAATCATGTCTTTGCCAATGACGACGACGACAGCGGCCGTTCCATTTCATTTTATTTGATACTGAACAGATGATTCTATGGATGGCTTTGTTACTATGTC